TCCCCAGTGCAACCCCAAAGCACACACAAAAAAAATCACAAAGAGAAGCCACACAGCCAAGCAGGGCCACAACGGGAAAATATTAGAAAATTAATATTTTTTTAAAAAATGATGTTGTTAAGGTTGTCTCTTTCCAAAAAGTTGCTGGAAAAGGGGAGGAGCCGCTGTGCTTCACAATTGCCCTAGACGAAAAATATGAACTATAATGCTAAAAGAAATAAATCGTGACGAAAGTGGGGGATGGTGGTCGGCGTGAACACATAAACGCATGAAATCATGATAAAGTGTGAAAATCATGTTTTTTTTTTTTAATGTAGTGTTTACTTTTTGGGGGACGATAGGGGTTGTAGTCCCAAGAAAAAATCTCCTTGAGGCCTGTTTAGCGCACAAAAGTCTGGCCGCTCAAAGAATCGCCTCCGAAACACAGAGTGCCCCCCCTCCTTACCAATGGCTACTTGTCTATCACAAGGGGAGCGGAAAAATGCGCCCCCCACTTCACCCCCCCCCAGAAAAAGCAGCTGCTTTTTTTCCCTTGGGTTTCTGGCCAGGAGGAGGATCTCCAGCTGGTTCTGGATTCCGTTCTTCCCAGCAGGGCTTTCGGACTGGAGAAATCGGAGTGCGAGGGGGGGGGAGCGGTTTAGAGGCTGGTCTGTCAATTACAGCCTGTTTACCCACCAGAGGCAAAAGGTTCCATGGGGCGCCGGGACGCTTAACCCCTCCGTTTGCCGGAAAGTCCGGCTGTTTCTCTTTTTCGCTCCCAACCTCCTTGACTTTGGCATTCTGAATAAGAGTGTCCCATCGCTACAGCACTCCGGACTCCACAAGAGAGAGAGAGCTAGGGTGGAGTAGTGGTTAGAGCACGGCGATGCCGGTTCAAGTCTCCCCTCGGCCGTAAAATTCACTGGGTGTCTTTGAGGGGGGGGGCCCTCCTCCTTGCCCTCACTTGCCTACATCATCTTCTGTGAATTGAAAAAAAGGCATTGTATAACCTATCCATTCTGAAGGAAATCAGCCCTGAGTGTTCACTGGAAGGACAGATCCTGAAGCTGAGGCTCCAGTCCTTTGGCCATTTCATGAGAAGAGAAAACTCCTTGGAAAAGACCCTGATGTTGGGAAAGTGTGAAGGCAAAAGGAGAAGGGGACGACAGAGGATGATGAGATGGATGGACAGGGTCATCAAAGCGACCAACATGAATTTGGGATGCCAGGCAGTGGAAGACGGGAGGGCCTGGCGGGCTCTGGTCCATGGGGTCATGAAGAGTTGGACACAACTAAACTAAACAACAACAAAATACTTATAGATAATAAACAAGGCTAGAAAATATGGCACTCTCGCAGGCTAAATTCTGGTACAGAATGAAAGACAAGACTAAATGACTAAACAACAACAAAATACTTATAGATCATAAACAAGGCTAGAAAATATGGCATTCTCGCAGGCTAATTTCTGGTGCATAATGAAAGACAAACGCCTAAGATTTAGGGCGAATGTTGGACATTCGCCCAGGAGAGAATGGAATTTTCCGAGAGGGAGCCCCGATTCCTAGAGGATCAGCCCCAGGCCACCTGGAGGCGTTTGGGGACGATGGGAATCTAAATGCATCTGGAGGGGGGGCAGATTGAGAAAAGAGGAGGGAGGCGACACCGGGTTCCGATCCTGCCATGATCGCCGGCCTCCGTGTGACTCCATGTCTCTAAGCTTCAGTTAAATGGAAAGGATTTCCTTATTAGGGGTATTTCCACCACCATGGAGAGGGTGGGGGGGATATTTGGGGTTCTCACCCTCCCCTTTTGCCCGACATCAGGGTCACGCTGGGCTGGGACAAGAGAGGCCAACGGGCAGCATGGTGGGGAGCAGGGGGAAGATGGGAGGATGCACAGTCGGTTTACGAACGCCTCGGTGAACGTAACTTTTCGGTTTACGAATGAAAAATCCATTGAAAATAATGCCTCGGTTTACGAATTCTTTTCCGCCATATGAAGCAACTTTCTGCAGAATGCATTCATTGCGCCTGGAGGGTTTATAGCACCGCCCCCCCTACATGCCTTCCTATGGGAAACCGCATTTCGGTTTGCGATTTTTTTTGCAATTCGAAACATCCCAGATTCAATTCGTAAACCGAGGTACGCAGTGCTCATATCTTGTTCTTGGGCTTCCAGAGGTTTATTGTTGACCACGGTGCAGGCGGGAGGCTGGGCTAAAGAGGCCTTGGTTCGATCTTGTTAGTTCGAAATGGAGCCTCCATGTCCCGAGGCATCCTATCTGTAGCCCCTTGCTTTGCCACCTGGAAGGTTCCCGGTTCGGCCCCTGCCTTTTCCACGTTGAGGAGAAAGACGTGGTCTAAAACTTTGGAGAGTGGCTGCCCGTCCGTGCAAACCATCTTGTGCGAGAGGGAGCGACGTCTGTGTGCAGGATTCGTCCGTTCCTGTTTAGTTTGTCGCTTTTATTCTGAATTCTTGAGGACCAGAAACGAACAAATCGTGTACCCCAGGAACTAAACAGGTAACCAGGACCACCTGTCGTTCCTGGTTACTTGGTGAAGAAGAGGGAGGCACTCTGCTTAAACTCAGAGACACTCTTTTTCATGCTTACGTCCTTAAACGTCTCCGAGGTGAAACACTCTCACTGGCCATGGATAGAATCACTTCTAAAATTACTCAGAGGAGTCCCCGATACAAGACCTTTCACTTCCTTAGGTAGCATTTTAATTGCCTCGCTCTCTGTCTCTCTCTGCTTCCATTCCTGGGAAAGATCTATTCTTTGGATCCTGGTGCGAAAGATGCACACCTAAGGGGTTCAAATGATTCAGAGCCTCTGAGTTTCAAAATGTTTCACTTACTCCTCCGTGTCGTCTTGGTTCGGCAGTATAAATTCAGGAGCGGGCGATCTAATTTTGTTGCTTCTCTTGTTTAACGACGGGGGAAATCAGAAAACCTCATCTACAGCCCAAGGCAGGATGCTTATATGGGGTTTGAGCTTTTCAGGAAGGACGTGGGAGATCTGAGTTCAAATCCCGACAAATCTGAATCCCTCCCTGCTCCATGAAAGCAGCCGGGCAATTATGATCAGCCGTTCTTCTGCATGACCCACACGGCAGGGTTGTTGTTATGAGACAGACATGTCGTGAGGATAAAGGAGGACCACTGTGTTTGCTATATTCTGATCTCACAGCAGGAAAGGAGGGATTAAAATACACACACACACACACACACACACACACAAATAGACAATGAATCACCCACAAATCTAGAGTCAGATCCCGGTCTAACCTCTCTCCAACTCCACTGGACCCATTTTCACTTCTGGATTGATGCACAAGTTAATTAAACTGTAGTTTGAGATCTTAGATTATGATGACCCTAATATTTTTCCCACCCCATTTCTGCCATGACCAAGCCATCTTTTTGTTACTTCTATGGGGCATCTTAAACATGGCATAATTTAGGGCTTCTCCGGGCCTCCGCCTGGCCCCGGCGGCCTCCATCGGTCCCCTCTCACCTCCGTGATGATGGTGGACGTGTACACGGTCCGATCGTACACCCATCCGTTGGCGCAGGGCTCGGTGTCCGTCTTGGTCCGGTTGGCGGCCGTGAAGTTGGGGTTGAGGAGCGACCACTGGGGGTCCACGAAGCGGCGGCATTTCTCGGGCTGTTGCCTGCTGTTGACGGGGATCCCGATTCGGAGGAGCTCCGTGGGTCCGATGACATCGAGGTACCCCGTGCCGTTGGCCGGGAGGTGGACCTGGCAGTGGTGGTCCGGGATGGCGGCCGTGAAGTTCTGGAGAAGGTTGTGGCTGGCCATCAGCACGATGGGGACGGTCAGGAGGAAGGTGTGGATGATTTGAAAGCGCCCCATGCCGCCGATTTGGTCCAGGAATTCTGCGAAACCCATGATGGCCCAGGAGATCCCCTGGAAGAGGGGAGAGTGGGGTCAAGAAATATAAGCAGGTCCTTCTTTAACTCCAACGCACAAGATGTGAAAGAGAAGGGCCAGTTTCCCTGTCGGTTTATGCGGCTTGTGAAGTTTTCGTAATGCGAGCTGGCTTCTGGGGCAGAAAGCGAACTGCGGGGAGCTCCGGAGGCCACAGATCTCTTCTGTTTGGGTTCCTGGAGCAGAAAAAACAGATGGCTCCAGCAAAATGAGTGTTTTGATTTACCCAACCATCCGCAGCATCCGTGGGAGTTTAAAAGGTTTCAATTGATCTCCGGTGGTGGATCTTGTGCCAAGCTAGGGTGGATTCCAGGCGCTTGACTGAAGTTTGAGGGTCTCTCTCTCTCTTCCCTTTTTCCTCCACTACATCATCCTCAGGCCTCTGCCCGGGGTTAAGGGGTGGAGAGGGAATGACTTGCAAGGTTGATGCTTGAAATCTGCAAAATAAATTCCCCTCCACCAGGGAGGGAGCTGCGAGAAGCCAGAAAGTTGTCGGCCGGTGGCCAGCTTGGTGGGCTGAACTTGCGGTCGCTTTCGCTCCTGGGCAAAGTGGGGTCTGCCTCCTCTGGGTCTCCGGGTGGATTATTTATGTAAAGCACTAAGCAGATCATCCCGTTAAAGTTTTACTCCTGTCTGAAGGGATTAACGAACTTGTTTTAGAAAAGAGACCCGGTGCCAGGCGGCTCTGGCAGAAAGTAGCCGGCGCAGAAATGCAGCGGGGGATGAAGGGGTGCCGGTGTGTGTGTGTTATATCCCTACAAGCTTTCCCCACTTGGGAAGGTGTCCATCACGCTTCTGAACCCCCTCCTTTTCTTGCGTCTCCCCACAAGTAGACCTTTCCTCGGCCACTGACCCCCACCGTGGGGCAAGAATTCCCTGGAGGGTGGGTGTTTTTCGAAAACCAGTGGATACTGGGCTGTAACTGGGAGGAGGCCACACAGGCTGTGTCCCAGGGCCACCCAATGGAGAGGGCAACAAAGTCTCTCTCTGTCTCTATCTATCTATCTATCTATCTATCTATCTATCTATCTATCTATCTATCTATCTATCTATCTATCTATCTATCTATCTATCTATCTATCTATCTATCTATCTATCTATCTATCTATCTATCTATCTAAAATATTTTTATCCTGCCTTTCTCCTTCAAAGGGCCCAAGTCTAATACAGGAATCTACTTTTCAGAACATCCCAGCCCTGTTCACTTCCCTTTAAAAAAATTATTATTTTTTTTAAAAAACCTAAATATTCTCTCTCTTCAGGGGGGAGACCCCTCCTCCTCCATTTTTTTCATCTCAGCTTCTGCCCCTGCCTCAGGGTGAGAGTCCGTGCCCCTTGCTCCACATGCCGACGTTGCAGGTCACGGCTGTGGGTGGATGCTCCCGGGCCAACATGGATGCAGGACGGGGAGGGGGGTCAAAGTCATCAGAGCCGTCTCTCCTCACACTGTAGGCTTTGTTCCAGCATGCTGCCGAAGACAGCAGAGAGGTTGCCCAAGGGCCACAGAGGTTGCCAAATGGCCACCCCCGCAGGGGCGGCCTGCGTTCAGCCCGCAGGTGAGGCGATAACAAGGCTTACGAGTTGGGTCATTTCATGCCCTCGTCTCAGAAAGGCCCGACCCCTCTCTTCAACCTTGCCAGCCTCTGTGTGTGTCATTTTTAAAAAAAGTTATTCATTGCTGGTGATGCTTTGAATGGTTTCATGTAACAATGGTCGTTGGCTGCCCTAAAAAGAAATGGCAGAATAAATATACATATTTAATGAACAACAAGAACGAATGAAATCATTAGTGTAAAAGAAGTCAGTGAATGAAAAATAAATCAAGCAGACGGGTTCCCCTATTCATAATCCAGTTTTTAGAGATACGTATGTGAGCCCCTAGTATTTCACAAGGGGTGCAAAACCAGAGAGGTCTGCCTGTGAGGGAGGGAGGATTTTTTTTCAGCTTTTTCAGCTTTTGGGTAACTTCTTCCTGGCGATGTTCTTGCATGGAATCCTGGCTTGTTCTGTCAAACTTCTCCAAAGGGAGAGCGATACAGAGGGTTTCTTACCTCACCGTTTACCCCCTCTCATCCTTTGTGAAGCTTTGCCTGGTGAGAGGTAAGAAACCCACTTCTTTCCAACGGTGGTGTGGCTCCAAACCTGCGGAACTCCCTTCCTCTTGATGTGGCACACGGCTCTTTTTCTGTGCAAACACAGCCGTTGGCAGGTTTGGTACTCTGGGCTGTTTTAGGCCCTATCTCTGGAAAAGACCCTAAGGGTAGGCAAAGTAGAAGGAAGCAGGAGAAGAGGAAGAACAAGTACAAGATGGATCCATTTCATAAAGGAAGCCATGGCCTTAAATTTGCATGAGCCGAGAAGCTCCTCACAGCCGAACTCTTGTCTTTAAAATGCTGTCCTTCTCTTTGAAAGAGATCCAGCAACTTAGGCTAGAAACCTGCCTGTCAGCAACCACCGGCGTTTCAAGTCCCTGCACTCATTAAGGAAATATAAACATTTTGTAACGACCTCCTTATTACTTGCAGATTATCCTATTACAAGGGAGGTGGGGGTGGTTCCTTTGCTGCTTCAGCGAAGCTGGTTTGGACTCTGCTCTCCTGGTGGAAGAGCTTCGGGAATTGAGGAAAAGGCAAGGCTGCTATTCAGCTCAAGAAGAAAACAAGCATTACTCCGAAGCCCTAGGGTTCAATCCAGCGCAGTGGGTTTCCTGGTGAATCTACCGGCCGGCTCTGCGGAGCGCATAAATCGGCGGAAGGGCCAAGAAATACAGTGGCCAAAATCTTATTGTTTGGTGTAGTAAATTGCAAAAAATGCTCTGAAACTCAACATCAAAAAAACCAAGATCATGGCCTCTGGTCCCATCACCTCCTGGCAAATAGAAGGGGAAGATATGGAGGCCGTGGCAGATTTTACTTTCTTGGGCTCCATGATCACTACAGATGGTGACAGCAGCCACGAAATTAAAAGACTCCTGCTTCTTGAGAGGAAAGCGATGACAAACCTAGAGAGCACCTTAAAAAGCAGAGACATCACCTTGCCAACAAAGGTCCGCATAGCCAAAGCTATGGTTTTTCCAGTAGCGATGTATGGAAGTGAGAGCTGGACCATAAAGGAGGCTGACCGCTGAAGAATTGATGCTTTTGTATTGTGGTGCTGGAGGAGGCTCTTGAGAGTTCCCTGGACTGCAAGGAGAACAAACTTATCCATTCTAAAGGAAATCAAGCCTGAGTGCTCACTGGAAGGACAGATCCTGAAGCTGAGGCTCCAGTACTTTGGCCATCTCATGAGAAGAGAAGACTCCCTGGAAAACACCCTGATGTTGGGAACGTGTGAAGGCAAGAGGAGAAGGGGATGACAGAGGATGATGAGATGGATGGACAGGGTCACCAAAGCGATTTGACCCAGCTCCGGGAGGCCGTGGAGACAGGAGGGCCTGGCATGCTCTGGTCAATGGGGTCACAAAGAGTTGGACACGACTGAATAACTAAACAAGTAAATTGCACTAGAGTAGGTCTGTTGAATCCGTGAATCTTATAAAGGAGTTAACTCACTAAATCCCCATTGTTTTAATGGCCCTACGCTAGTGCAATGCACTACACTAAGGAACAGTATTTTTACCTTTTATTACCTAGGTTCCATTGATTAGAATAGGCCTACTCTATTCGACTTACTCTTCTCAACTCCATCTAGACCCATTGGAATCAGAGGAACCTGATTCGCATTGATTCAACAGGACTTACTCTCGTGCAACGTACCGTGTTAAGCAACAGGATTTCAGCCTGTATTTCTTTCAAACGCAGCTGTTACGCTAGAAAGGCACATAGTACACTAGGACCCCCATATCCATGGGGGATTAGGTCCAGTTCTCCAAACCCCCCACCCCACAGATGCTGAAAAACGTGAATTATAGTGAACACTATTTTAATAACGAACACTATACATTGGATGATCTCTGGCACCTCTAGTGGCCAGTTCTGGTAAGAATGATATTGCAGAAATATATTTCTCTACTGAATGCAATACATAGCATAGCCTCATGCTCCCTCTAGTGGCCAGTTCTGGTAATAATGATGTTGTAGAAATATATTTCTCTTGTGAACGCAATACATGGTCTCTGGCTTCCTCTAATGGCTAGTTCTGGTAACTTCATCTTTAGAAATATGTATTTCTAGGATTTTCCTTTCAATATTTTTTAATATTTTAAAGAGTGTGGATAAGTGAATCAGCGGATATTGATCCTGCAGATAAGTGTGTCTTACTGTACTAAGATGTTGGGGGGGGTGTTTCCACAGGGGTAAGGGGGAGAAACAGAGGGCAAGGCTGGTAGCTTTGCACCACTTCCTGCTCCCCCGCCTCTAGAATAACAATTTGTGATATTGCTCTTCCTTCCAAACCATCTCACGTTCGATCTTAGTCCAGCCACCTGCTCAATGCAGGAATCCAAGTCAAAGTAGATCCAATACATGGTTTTCTAATCTTCTCCTGAAGGCCTCCAGCGTTGGAGCGCTCGCCACCTCCCGAGGTCCTTAGCGCCATTGTCGTACTGCTCTAACAGTTAGGACATTTTTCCTGATATTCAGCTGAAATCTAACTTCCTGTCACTTGAGCCCATTGTTGTGTTCCCTGCACTCTCTGATGATGAAGAGCGGATCCTGCTTTCAGCCACGATGGAGAATTCTTTGAAGGATGAGGGCTTGTAGAATAAGAATTTGTGAGATTGCCCTTCCTTCCGGAGGCACGTATTTTCTCAGGTGCCCACATCGCTTTCCCCTCTTAACCCTTGAAATCTAACTTCCTGTCACTTGAGCCCATTGTTGTGTTCCCTGCACTCTCTGATGATGAAGAGCGGATCCTGCTTTCAGCCACGATGGAGAATTCTTTGAAGGATGAGGGCTTGTAGAATAAGAATTTGTGAGATTGCCCTTCCTTCCGGAGGCACGTATTTTCTCAGGTGCCCACATCGCTTTCCCCTCTTAACCCTTCCTTGGTTTCCCGTCCCTTAACCCATCTTCTCCCTTCTTCACCCAAGGAATGAAAAATAAAAATTAAAAGGAAGGGAGAAAAGATGGCTTCACGGACATAGGACGAGTTTATTCCAGGGAAAGCTGGGGAACTCTTAAGGCGCCCCAAGTGGACAGTTTAGGAACTGCACGTGTCCTGTCCGTTCTACCCTGGACTCTGGCCGGCTGAGTCACACGCCGCCCGGATAGTGGCAGGCCTCCTTGACCACGGATGCCCCTCCTGGGCCAGATGCCTCCCTTCTGATTGGTCAACAAGTCTTTAACGGACACGTGCCGTTCCACATTCCAGAGCAGTACAAAGGGTGCCTCTTCCATCATCCGCCTCTCTCTCTCTCTCTGGTGTCCTTCCCGTCTTCATCCGAGCCCATGAGTTGGCACATTTTTGCAGGCTGAGAAGCGCAAGACGAAATGGTGCGGTCATCAGTTCTGGAGCATAGGCACTCGTTGTGAAAATTCTTCCTGGACACAATCCGTAAAAGAGTCCCAAAATGCAGGCCAGCTGCTTTGTATCTCGCCAATCAACCTGTTTTAGCAGTTTTCGCCTCCACCGGGA